TGTCCCGCGCGCTCATATGACCTTATGCAGTTGCGAGCGCCGTAAAACCCTATACTAAACAAACAAACAAACAAACCTCTATCATCCTTATCTCTCTTCCTTCTTTTGCGTGTTTGTTACTCTCTTGTAACATGTCTAATCTTCGGCACTCTTATGACCTAATTGTGTTGCAAAGTGCCGCAATACGCTTACTAAAACTAAACTACCACCCACACCAACGGTTTCCACTCTCTGTGTGACCATTTTCTGAGCGCTGGGACGTCATGCGCGGAAGCTGCTTTTGAGTAAAAAGACTTTTTTTTTCAAGAATAGGGTGTTTGATTTTACTTCTATCAGTGTCATGGTCTTAGCCAATTGTGAGGGTGGTTAGCGGGTGCTCTGGTGTGGTTTGTTTCTTCTTTCCTATCAAACATCTATCGTCCTTATCTCTCTTCTTCTTCTTTTTTTTATGTTTGTTAATCTCTTGTAGCACCTCTAATTTTCTGGCGCTCTTATGACCTTATGTAGGTGCGAGCCCTGTGAAACCTCTACAGAAACTTTTTTTAAAAACTTAGCCAACAGAAGAGAAAAGCTTTTGAAAAGCAATTATTGGACTACATCCTCAGTACTTGCGAGGTAAAACCTGTTTTGTGGGCTCTAAACTGGTGGGATAAGTTTTTTTAAACGTAGACACTACACGATTTGTTGCTCATAACCAGTATACGAAGAGCGGGACAGAGAGAGAGATGGGGACATAGAGAGAGAGAGAGAGAGAGAGAGAGAGAGAGAGAGAGAGAGAGAGAGAGAGAGAGAGAGAGAGAGAGAGAGAGAGAGAGAGAGGAAGAGAATCATTGTGCTTTCGTTTGGCATGGTGGCGAATAAGGTCGTGTAAATAAGTAGGTAAATGTCTGTGTAAACGTCGGTAAATAATGTTGCCTATCATAAAACACACATATATAATTACTGTGTGTGAGTGCGTTTGTTTGTGTGCTTTGTATGTAAATGCGCGCTTGCGTGTATCGTGTATGTGTGAATGAGGACAGAGAAAAGGAAGCGATAGAAGATAGCGAAAGTAAGAGAGAAAGAGAGAGAGAGAGAGAGAGAGAGAGAGAGAGAGA